TGTTTTGCATTGTAACCAATGTAAAACACAAATAGAAAAAACAATGGTCTTGTTGTTATTGATTTGTTCCATTAGTATTAAAGAATTTGTGAAGGAATTGAGTATTTTCTTTAAGAATACTTAGAAAGAATACTTTAACTTTTTGAAAAACTTATGTCATTCAGGTCCATATCAGCCATATAAATATTATATAATATTCCACATTTGAAAATATCATTTTATAACTGATCAAATTCATAGAAAAGAAGTGAGAGAGGGAAGTGATAGTTAAAGCAATTCATTGTAATAAATTCCTCATGGCAATAAAAATTCATATCCTATACTACTCAGGGCAGATGTTTACTCAGGAAAAATTCCAAAATATTCATATTTCTTTTGGAACATGTAAAGATAAGATAGAAAAATGTAAGAATATGGACATATAGTATTTATAGAAGATTCCACTTCTGGGCAATTCATATTGGATTTCATTATAAATATTAAAACTTGAAATCCATTCAATATGAAAAATGACAAATAGAGTGCTCTATTTTGCAGTCTTTGGCTTGCTTTAAGAATTTATAACTTTGGATAACTTATATCTCTAAGTTCATCAAATTTACTTGTTTAATTTTTTAGTATTAGATGAAAAACTTGATTTCTTCTCATGTTATGCTCCTTTCCATACCCATGACATTAAATAATCTAAAATTTCTGGGCTCTAGGTCCTCATTTGTACAATAAAGGGAGGTAGATTAGTTTACCTCTAGATCTTCATCCAATTCTAAAAATCTGCTGCTTTAATTTAGAATATTCATGTCTAATTTGTTCACCTTTTCCCTGCATTAATCATATTTTTCATATGATGATCAAATCTTGTCATCCTTTTGAACTTAATGGAAATGGATTGTATGTATGTATGCTACTTATTCCATATAGAGTGGTCTAAATTGAAAATGTCTCTGAAAACAGTATGTGCTTTATTTCTTAATATTGCTTTAAGTAGTCAAACTTTAAAATTTATACTCTCTTGGTCTCTTATGTGCACATTAGTATAAAGCAAGAGGAAATTATTGCTATAGATATTATTTTGGCCCTACCTACACATAAGTAGTCACTTTTTAGTTGTAAATGTACTATAAATCATTTACCCAATTGTAGTCTTCTATATCCCATTCTTCTTCAGTTATCTTTATACTTAGTTCTTTCCAACTTTATAATTTCAAAAAGAAACTGTATATTTTTATCTTGAAGTTCTGCCAGAATCAGAAGCAAAAAAAAAAATACTAGCATAAATGAAAAAAAAATAATCTATGGTATTAGACTTCACATTTATTTTTATACTTATATACTGTATGTGCCATTTGATCATGGTGGATTTCTATTTTTGGTCATTGCTGAACTTCATTCGTGTAATGTGCTACCCACCAGATTAGCCCAATAATTATTCATTGAATAAATAAAGGAATGTGTGCCTTCAATGACAAGGGTCAATAAGGAATAACCAGAATTGAAATGGCACACATACTCTATCCAAACAAGATATTTTTACATGATTTATACATATCAACCAAAATGTAATTCATGATTCCACTGTGAAACTTTTTTGAGAATGAGTTCATATAATGGAGGGAATGATGGTCAAGGTATCTGCAAACTTGTTTCCGGATTAACATTCTGATCTACCAGAGTGCATATTTATGAAGAATGACTTAGGAAACTCATGTGGTGGAATTCTCATCGTTTATATCATCTCTAGTTAAGTACTTGTAAAGATATTTTCATATTTTCTTAATTATTATTTTTATTTTGGAAACATTAAACAATCGTAAGTGCATTTGTTTTTCTTTGACTTCAATGTGAACACCTGTGTCTGCTTCTCCTTGTAATATGAAAAAGAAACATTCAGGGGAACTAAGCATGATGTGGGCTTTTAGCAAGATAAAAATAAATCAAGTACTAGAGACACAAACTTGAATACCATATGGTACCTCACATTTGAGTAAGGCAAAGTATGAAGAAAGAGCATAATAAAGGGTGGATGGAAGGAGACGAGGGGATGGGTCGCTTGAAGATGGGGCAGGGTCCAGAGCCAAGGGGGAAAGGTGAGGGGGAGGAAAGGAAATAAGTAAAATAAAGATATGCCATGGACACGAACTTAATAACAAGGCAGCCTTGTGAAAAACTGAGAACTTGTCTTCGCCCACCTTATTCACTGGCTTTGGCACCATGTGACTTCTGCTTCTTCCCCAAAGTCAAAATTATCGTGAAAGTTAAAATTTTTGAAGAGTCAGGACATTGAGGCAGCCACAATAGTGCAGCTAAGGACACCCATGGAAGAGGACTTCTACACAGTACTCATGAAAGAGGACTTCCTGTGCTGCCATGTTCAGGAACCTAATAACAATAAATGTGAAGATTATAAAACATAAAAATGGGATAAGATTAATAATATCAGTAAGAATGAAAATGGGGAAAGTGGAATTAAAGGAGGTTGGAGGAAGGAGAGAGGGAAAGGGATTGAATAAAGAAAACAAGTTGTATTGTAAACTGCACGTACTGCAAACATGCACTAATAAAATAATTATACAATAAAGTGTTACTATATTAATATGTACACATATTCATTAAGTTAGAACAACATTTAATTTGGCACTCTTGTCATTTTTTAAGAAATTACATGAACACAAGTACAAATTCCGGAAAATAATAACTAAGACCATAAAAGTAAATTCTGAATCTGCAACTCATATAGTAGCCTACAAAATACTCAGAATATTTACCAATAAGACAAAAGGAATAAGACTTGACCAACTAGATTAGTGAAAAATCAAATCAGAATGTAAGAAACCGTACATCATTTACTAAGATTATTCAATATATTACAGCTTTAATAAGAAGAATCTCATCTTTTAAATTAAAAATTATCATGCACAGATTATGATATTCAAATCACAAATATTGGTGGGCTTTCTCTTCTCCTATTCTAGATTTACATGTACATACACCTTTTCTCAGGTTAGGCAAGGAGAAGAATTTCTGGCTGCTGGAGATGGAATAGGGAATGGTAGGAACTTTTCACTTGCTGGGAACATTAGTGAGCTTCCATTGACTGCTTATACTTATAGCAAACATGAAATTATTGGTCATTGTCTCCCAAGACATGCTTAGAGCTTCCTCAGAGAGGAAAATGCTCTCTCTACAAAGCTCTCATCCTTCCTTCCATTCTCTGCGGCAACATGGAGTGTTGGTTCCTGTGTACTCTCCACCTAAGGCCTGCGGCTTTCTGTTTGACTCCGCTGACTCACTAGTAGGAATCTCTTTTTAAATGACCCATGATCAGCACTCTTACCGAGTTACAGGGAAAATGAAACTCATTCCCATGGCAGCTCTTCTATCCTCTCTCAGTAACATGGAGGTACCTTTAACCACCTTTAGGTATTAGGCTTCTGTATTATAAAACATCAATTTCCTTCTTCCCTACATGGCATAGAGTCCATGGCAAGTTTTCTAAGAAAACTTTTGATGATCCTTTCACTTCACATACTTTGGGTGAAAAGAAAATATCCCTTTGCTTTATCTTCCATAGTTCTGAAGAAATATTCACCTATAAGATTTATAAACAATTGTCTATTATATTTTTAAAGCATATGCTAAGATATGGACTCCAAGGACAATACAAAAAGGGAAAGGAAAACTGGAAAGAGGTTTAGAATACTCTGGAAGATTTGAATTATTAGGTGAAGTGAAACCAGTAAAATTCATACTATTTTTTAATACTATAAAATTAAATCTATTGTTGGGCTTGGTGGTGCATACCTGTAATACTAGAACTCTAGAAGACTGAGGCAGGAGGATTACAAGTTAGACCCTATCATGGGCAATTTACCAACTTAGTGAAGTTCTGTCTTAAAATCTATAAAAATAATTAAATAAAGTGTTGGGCAGACAGACCTCTGTGTGTGAAAGCCCAGGGTTCATTTTGCAGTAAAATCAATCAATGCATCAAAACGACACCCTATTCATTACGTTGTTGACTTGGATAGAAGTATGTTAGAAAAACCTATGACTTTTGGAATCTGTTCCAAATAATTTTTAATAAACCAATAATGTTTAAAAAGTAAGTTAAATTATTGTTGAAAGTCACAAGTATCAATTTGCTGGAGAGTGACCTTAAAAACTTTCATGTGAATTTGGATATATTTCAAGGTGAACAGGAACAATGCCTGTGACTTCAAGCAGTAAGTATGAAGTAGACTGGCATAGGTAATACACATAATGGTCTCTCAGGTTAGGAAACTGTTAGCCAAATGGAAGATACAACTAAAACTGACCCAAACTCTAAAGAAATGCATCACAGTAATTACAAGAAAGTAAAATATATTGTCATTTTCGGTTTTGGTAGACAAAGCACTTTTATTAAGAACGTTTTTTCATTTCTCCCCTAAGACATCTTTAATTTTCAGCCTGCTAGAAGGCACTCACCCTTCATGTTAGAAATTTGGTTGTGACAGTTCAAGGCATAAATATGAGATAAAACAGGAGGCAAAGGTGGAAAAGTCTCTGTTTTGGGGAGTAAGTTAATTTGTAGAAAGATTTTACGAACCTTCTATCATTCCTTACAGTCCATCAATATGTCATTGCCACATCCATCAACACTAAGGGAAATGGGATTTACCTCTGAAGCAGGTCTCTGAGAAACACTTTCATATAAAGGGGAAATGAAACTGAAACTCTTTCAGAAAGGAAGAGGCATGATGGTGGATGGATTGACAACTTACACTGCATGCTAAGGCTCCGACTCCTCAAATCCTTGGCTCTTTTCTGAAAAATCTTATGATTAAAATGTCTATTGAAATAGGTCTTGCAGTTTCTGTATCTCTTCTCCTTGAAGTTTTCTATATTTTTATAAGTTTCTTGAGAAAATCTTTATATAAACTATGGCAGAGCTCGGCGTGGGGTGGGGCCCCGGCGCGCTTGTGCCCTAGCGGCGGGCTGCGGCGGCCAGATGGAGGGAGACTGAACACTCGCTGGCCATGTCTTCCCGTTCCCTGAAGAACCAAGGCGCATCCTCAAATCCAGGACCCCTTTTATTCTACAAGGGAGAGTATATCAAAATGGATATTCCGAATCCCCCCACCTCCAAATGTACCACTGACTGGAAAAGAAAAGTGAAGTCTGAATATATGCGGCTTCGCCAGCTCAGATGGCTGCAGGCGAACATGGGCGCAAAGGCTCTGTATGTGGCAAATTTTGCAAAAGTTCAAGAAAAAACCCAAATCCTCAGTGAAGAATGGAAGCAACGCCGTGTCCAGCCTGTGCAGTCGATGAAGCCTGTGAGCGGGCACCCTCTCCTCAAAAAGTGCACCATCAAGAGCCTCTTCCTGGGCTTCGCCAGCCAGCACATGCTAATGTGCTCCCTGAACACCGTGGCGCTGGTGCCCATCACGTACTCCTGGTCGCCGCTGCAGCAGAACTTCATGGTGGAAGATGAGACAGTTCTGTGCAATATTCCCTACATGGGGGATGAGGTGAAGGAAGAAGATGAGACGTTCATAGAGGAGCTGATCAACAACTATGACGGCAAAGTCCACGGCGAGGAAGACATGATCCCCGGCTCGGTCCTCATCAGCGATGCCGTCTTCCTGGAGCTGGTGGATTCCCTGAATCGGAACTCAGTCGAGGAGGAGGAAGGCCACAACGACGCTGTCAACGGAAAGCAGGGTGACGGCCAGGAAGACTTGCCAGTGACCCGGAAGAGAAAGCGCCATGCTGTGGAGGCCAACAGAAAGAGTTGCAAGAAACAGTTCCCCAATGACATGATCTTCAGTGCCATCGCCTCAATGTTCCCCGAGAGCGGTGTCCCGGATGACATGAAGGAGAGGAAACGGGAGCTGACGGAGATGTTGGACCCCAATGCCCTCCCCCCGCAGTGCACACTCAACATCGACGGCCCCAACGCCAAGTCTGTGCAGCGCGAACAGTCCCTGCAGTCCTTCCACGCGCTCTTCTGCAGCCGCTGCGTCAAGTACGACTGCTTCCTGCACCCTTTTCATGCTACCCCCAACGTGTATAAACGGAAGAACAAAGAAAGCAAGATCGAACCAGAACCCTGTGGCTCCGACTGCTTCCTTCTGCTGGAGGGCGCCAAGGAGTACGCCATGCTGCACAACCCCCGCTCCAAATGCTCTGGGCGGAGGAGGCGGAGGCACCATGTGGTCAGCGCTTCCTGCCCCAACACCTCCACCTCCACTGTGGCTGAGACGAAAGAATGGGACAGCGACAGGGACACGGGCAACAACTGGGCCTCCAGTTCCTCAGAGGCCAACTCCCGCTGCCAGACCCCTACCAAGCAGAAGCCCAGCCCCGCCCGGCCCCACTTCTGCGTTGTGGAGGCCCCGTCCGAGACCGTGGAGTGGACCGGGGCCGAGGAGTCCCTGTTCCTCATCTTCCACGACACCTACTTCAGCAACTTCTGCTCCACCGCCCGGCTGCTGGGCACCAAGACGTGCAAGCAGATCTTCCAGTTTGCAGTCAAAGAATCGCTCATCCTGAAGCTGCCCACCGATGAGCTCATGAACCCCTCCCAGAAAAAGAGGAGGAAACACAGGTTATGGGCCGCCCACTGCAGGAAAATCCAGCTGAAGAAAGACAACAGTGCCAGGCAAGTGTACAACTACCAGCCCTGCGACCACCCGGACCGGCCCTGCGACAGCACCTGCCCCTGCATCATGACTCAGAATTTCTGTGAGAAGTTCTGCCAGTGCAACCCGGACTGCCAGAACCACTTCCCCTGCTGCTGCTGTAAGACCCAGTGCAACACCAAGCAGTGTCCCTGCTACCTGGCGGTGCGCAAGTGTGACCCTGACCTGTGCCTCACCTGCGGGCCCTCGGAGCACTCGGACTGCAAGGTGGTGTCCTGCAAGAACTGCAGCATCCAGCGCGGCCTCAAGAAGCACCTGCTGCTGGCCCCCTCAGACGCGCCCAGCTGGGGCACCTTCATCAAGGAGTCGGTGCAGAAGAACGAGTTCATCTCCGAGTACTGCGGCGAGCTCATCTCCCAGGATGAGGCCGACCGGCGAGGGAAGGTCTATGACAAATACACGTCCAGCTTCCTCTTCAACCTCATCAACGATTTCGTGGTGGATGCTGCCCGGAAAGGGAATAAAATCCGATTTGCAAACCATTCGGTGAACCCCCGCTGTTAGGCCAAAGTGGTCATGGTGAACGGAGACCACCGCATCGGAATCTTCGCCAAGAGGGCCATCCAGGCTGGCGAAGAGCTCTTCTTTGACTACAGCCCCGAGGCCTCAGCAGCAGCCACCACGGGTGAATTCACGCACTTTACAGTACTGTGGCTTGTGACCTCTTCCTTAATAAAGCATCGGTGC